TGTAAACTTGTATCTTAAATCTCTATCTAATCTTTAAAATTAGAATAGTTTCCATTAACACTATTACAAGAACTATTGTCCTTTTTTTAACACTATATCCTTTCAAATAGTCTTAAGCTTTAAAGGTCCCATAACAAATGGCAAGACTGCCATCTAGTGCTTTACTATAGAGATGAGTTGTCCAATAAGGTAGCCAGTAGTCACATGTGGCTATTGAGTCACTGAAACATAAATGATTTGAATGGAGATGTGCTGTAAGTACGAATATAAACTGTATTTCAAACACTAATACAAAAAACAATGTAAGATAGCTCATTAATGATTTGATGATTTTTTAATACTGATTACATGGTAAAATAAAAATATTTTCGATAGGCTGAGTTAAATAAAATATTTTATCAAAATTAATTTCATTTATTCCTTTTTACTTTTTTAATGTAGCTAGTAGAAAAATCGAAACAACATTATGTGACTCACATTGCGTTTGTAATGGACACCACTGATCTAGAAGAAAAATTATGTTAGTCTTTAACATAAGAGGCTTAAATATTAATATATTTCATATTTATAAAAAATAGAATATAAGCTATATAATGTATTCATAAATGTAACTAGTTAGTAAAAGCTAAAGACTCAAAAAAGTCAAAAAAGAATTTCTAATTTTAAAAACATCAGGCAAAAAACATATTGCCATAAAATAAATCCAGAATGTTTTAAATGAAAAAAAAAAAACAGAAAGAATGTGGAAAATCTAGATAATAAATATAATTTAAGTGACATAGAAATTAGATGATCTGAGTATCAGTAAGAATAATAATTGCATATGGATTGAAATATTAATATATACATGTCTCTATAAGTATATAATAACACAAAAACAAAAACTATTATCATCTTTGTAACATATTGAGCAAACAAGAAAAATAAATATATAAAAATGAAATATATAAATAAAAGAAATAAATAAAAATAAAATAAAGGGAAAGAATAGAGGATTTATTATGTCTTTCCTACATGAACTGTAGCACTGAGTACCCAAACAGCTGATGAGAGGAAATTTATTCTTACAGCAGTATTCAAACCAAGAAATAAACAAGAAATTGAAATATGATATTTTTGCAACCATTATCAATTATAATCTAAATATGGAACATTGGTGTCTGCTAAGAACATAAAAAGAAAGACTAGCAGATATGTGGCTCTTCTAGATAAAGAACATAGAACAACCTATAAAATGTATTCTCTAAATCAAATCTAAATCTGATTAAGCCTCTGAATCACAGTTTCCCAACCTCAACAACATTGATATTGATATTGATATATCGGGCCAAATAAGTCTGTGTTCTGAGGAGGGTGACCTATTCACTGTAGGATGTTTAGCAGTGTTCTTATCCACTATCCACAAGATACTCACAACACCATGACCCCTTCCCCAGCTTGACGAACAAAAATGTTTCCAAACACTGTCAATGTCCCATAGACGACAATAATTCCTTAATAAGATTTGGGATTTTATATGCCACATTTTTAACAGTATTAGAAAATATTTAAAAGATCATTAAGAAACATATACTTAATGGGAAATTAAGAAAATCATATTTATATATAAAGAAGATAAAAATTAAATTTATAAATTCTGTAGAAATAATGCTAATAAGAAAGTCTTATACCAAATGTAGCCAAACAACAAAAAGCATATAAGAGAAGGAAATTACTAAAGACAAAACCTAAAATTGATGAACATGAAAATACAATCAGTGGAAAGGATGAATAAAACCAAAAACTTATGCTATGAAATAGCAAAATAAACAAACAACATCAACAACAAAAAAAAGATTTTAAAACTACCAATTAAAAAGCACTAGACCCAGAAATTTTGGTTTAATTACCTAATCTTTAAAGTTTTAACTATGTCTGTCTTAAAAGAAGATAGCAATCATTCCAAGTGTATTTTTTAAAGCTATTACGATAATTACACAATATGTAGACAGAAAAAATAAATCAATCAAAAATTGTAGTCAAAGGTAATTCAGATAGAAAAAAATAATATACAAAAAAGACAGACAACATTCAGTCATACTAAGAAAAAATTCTAAACAAAATATAAACAAGTAATATTTAGCAGTGTCCCAAATAATAATATGCCATAACTAAGTTTGGTTTAGCCCAGAATGAAAAGATGTTTAACATGAGAACAATCTATTAATGCAACTAAGCATTTAACAAGGTGAAGGAAAAAGGCATTCGTGATAAAATCTTGTAGTACAGTAAGATAGAAATTTGTTTAATTTGATGCAAGGAATATCCATAAATTATAATTAACACCCTGCTTGATGAGGATGTCTATTATCATCACTGTGAATTAACACTGAAACAGAGATTCCAACATCCCAATAAGGGGATGCAAAGATTGGAAAAGAAATAAAACTCTCCTATTTGCATGTAATATAATTAATTGTATTTAAAAATACAAGTAAATCTATAAACAAAATTAAAGTTCATTGAAGTTGATAAATATAAAATGAATACACTAAAATAAATTTTATTTTTATATATCAAACATAAATAGAAAATATAATTTTTAAATGGAATTTAAAGTAGCAAGAAAAATACTAGAAAATATGATATATTTTACACAACCAACAAAACATGTTCAAGGTATAGACACAGAAAATTGAGCTTAACATCATGAATCACTAAAGAAATACAAATTAAAACCATAAGACACTACTATACATACATACTCTATACATACTATACATACTCTAGAATGTCTATAATCAAGCAGAAAGATGATACCAAGTATGATAAGGGTGTGGAGGAACTGAAACAATCATAAATCACCAGTATGAATGAAAAAATGGTGTAAACATGTTGGAATACCATTTGGCAGCTTCTTAAAAAAATAAACATAAGTTTAGGAAGTAGGTCACCAATTATACTCTTAAGAATCTATACAGAGAAAATAAAAGCATATGACTACACAAAGACCATATGAATGTTCAAAGCAGCATTTTTCTTACTACCAAAACCCAGAAACAATCTCAATTTCCATCAACTTGTAAATGGACACAAAAAAGTAGTATATTCATATAATGCCATATCATTCATTAAATCTAAAAGCTAAAATCACCAAATTAATAAAATTAAAACTCCTTATGATTATTTAAATTGATGCAGAAAAAGCATTAGACATAAACAAACACCTATTCCTAATAAAAATGCTCAGTGAAATACGAATAGAAGGCAATTTACTCACTTGATAAAGGAAACTGGGAAAAACCTATGTCATACCTAATGATGAAACACTGAATGCTTTCCCTCTAAGATCAGGAAAAAGAAAGAATATACATTTGTAGGCTCACCACATCTTTTCAACATTGGAGATGCCAGCCATTGTAACAAGGCAAGAAAAAGAAAGAAAAGGCATCCATATAGGAAAGGAAGAAATCTAACTGCCATTATTTGCAGAAAACATTATTATCTATGTATAAATTCTGAAATAATCTATAAAAAGGTACAAGGACAAAAATATGAATTAAGCAAAGAAACAGAACACAAAATCAATATAAAAATCAATTATTATACATATGAGAAGCAGTCAAAAATAAAATATCTATAAACTACCATTAACAATAGCATAAAAAATATAAAATAGATAGGGATAAATCTGACAAAAATGTGAATAACCTTCACAGTTAGAACTATAAAATATCACTGACATAAAGAATAATTAAGAAAAAAATTTTAAAAATATGCTATGTTCATGGGTCAAAAGATTCATTATACTTAAATGTAGATTCTCCCCAAATTTATCTCTCAATTCAACAAAATCCCAATACAATCCTAGCATATGTTTTTATAAAAAGTAATGACTCTAAAATTCATATTTAAATGAGAAAGAAATGGAATAGCCAAACTAAGTTTGAAAAGGAAGAACAAACTTAGAGAATAAATATTATCTGATTTTAAGACTTATAGAATTGCATTAATTATAAAATGTTATATTGGCATAACAATAAGCAAAAACAGATTAATAGAATAGAAAGTCCAAAAATAGATGCACACATATACAGACAACTAATTTTTCACAAAGGTGCATAAGTAATTCATTGGTTAGATAGTCTTTAAAAAAGTTTGCTTGAACATTTAAATACCTATATGACAAAAAAAATCATTCCAAAAACTAGGAAAAATATTTTCAAGTTATTTATCTGATAAAGGACTTGTAAATAGAATAAAGTATCCTGAAAATTCATTAGTATAAAAACAAACAATCTAATAAAACAGTAAACAATCAATTTAAATAGATACTTCATCAAAAAAATATACATATGGTACACAATTACATGAAAAGATGCTTAACATCATTAGTCAATGCAAATTAAAATGAGAATTGGTTATCATTACACACCTTTTAGCATGGCTAAAGTTTAAACGATTAACTAATCGTACAAGGGTTGAAAAATGTGGAAGAACTGAAAGTCCCATACACTGCTGGTGGGACTGTAAAATGTTATAACCATTTGGGAAATAGAGTGGCTGTTTCTTAAAAAGCTAAACATATACCTACCATATAGTCATTACCCAATGAAAGTATCTGTTAGTACAAAATCAGTGCAGCTTTTTAATAATGCCCAAAATTTCCCCCTATAAAAAATCTACCACAAAATTATATTTGTTTAAAATTAATCATAATTATAAAGATTACATTAAAATCACATGAGGTTATTTAACTTCTATATTTTGTTCCATGTTCCGAATAAGATCTATTGCTATTTTATTTTCAGAATAGAAAAAAATTACACCAAATACAATTAAAAGAATATAGGAAAAAGACATTGCTTTTCTTAGCAATATATATGGAGTTGCATTACAATATAAAAGAAATAGAAATTGTAATATGTTAATGACAATTTTAGTTATTCAAGATGACTTTTATTATATGAAACTAATAATATAAACCAATTATTTAAAATGAAAAATACACAAATACTTACAATAACATGTTCCTCTAAGTGGATTACCAACATAGCGATTTTCAGAGTCACATCTGTAGAAACATAAAAACTGATTTAATATTAAACAATGTAATTCAAAAGCCTCATATTTTTCTTCAGGCAAAAAATGTATTTATATTCCATGTTAAAACATCTTAAAAACTATATAATTAAATTTCAAAAATGAGTCTTGAAAATAATTAATTGTAGAAAGCCTATACATGAGTGGAATTCTATCTATAAGTACTATCTACAAAATACTCTTTACAAATTAGTATTTCATTGTCCCCTTTTTATTAAATAAAACATAAATAAGAATGATGGTAAAATGTACTTTTATCATCCCAAACTATATAATTTATTTTCTAATATTACAAATATATACCAACTCTTGTAATGCTGTATTATTTAAGCTTATAAACTCATGATTTCAATAAATTAAAATCCTGCTTTCTCTTGTCTCTTAACAAAAATGTTACTGAAATACTGCATTACATAAGAAATAATTATTAAAGATGGTTATATGGTTATATCATTTATGCAAACCTATAACAAACATTGTCAATGTTTATGATCATAATAGAATCTCATATTTTATTTCTGCCTGTAATACTGGAACTTTGGTCCACAGAATACATATTTATTGATGCATACTTTTATCCAACCAACATAGAAGTTAATCAAGAGAAACAATGTTGCTTCTGACCAGTAACTGCTATATAATTTGAGGGAGTGGGAAAGAATAGTACAAAATAAAGACATAAATTTCTTGTTAAAAATTAAGAAATTGCAAGATGGCCACAGCAAAGCATTAAACCAAGTGTGATGCCCTTCTAGGTATGGGAACCTGTGCAAATTCACAGGCTACACACCCATGAAGTTGGCCCTAGTTATGACAACCAAGCTTTAAGTGTTGCGAATTTGGGAGGCATCCTTCTATCTTAGAGCATAAAACTCTGATTTAATATATTGGTTTTAAGACCGAAATGGCTTTTCTTAATATGAATTTTCCTAAAAGCTTATGCTGTGAACTCATTTTAAACTTCAGAGAATATGGAGAAGGAATGAAAACTGGTTGTGCTCATCTTCTCTGACCTTGAAAACCTGTACTACTTAGGTGACTAAAGATATAATAATCTAATCAGAAATGTTTAGGACAATTCTACAGCAAATAATATATTTGTTTTAAATAAAAATAAAGGATCATTTTCTATGTTTAACAGACTTCTTTAGATATAAATTTTTATGTAGTTACAGTTTTGAAGAATTCTTTATTAAATCTCTCCTATAATTCTGTAATTATTATAGCTGGAATTTATGATTTATACCAAATATAGCACATATATGCCTAATATAAACATGTATTTGCACATACATAATCAAAACAATCAAATTTGATTTTAATAATATGATGTACATGGACAGGAAAAAGAAAAACAATTTAAATAGCCAGAAACACTGCTTTTTAAAGTTAATTTTTTGAAGGGAAATAAATTTTGAGAATAACAACTAAATGATAAAAAGACAAAAATCACTCAAAGATTACTGAGAGCAGAGTAACAATAGTAGGTTTCCATACACTGAAAAACAGATAAAAAAGGAAGATTAATACAAGGAACCAGCTGAAAGGATTAAAGGACTACAGTTGTCAGAATTAATAATAAAAGACTGAAAATAAATAAGGACATAGAGACACTAGGTATGATATGGAGGAAAATTATAAAGATAACAATGCAGATTTGATACATAAGATTAAGATGTACTTTCAAAAAAAATAAGAATGCTTCCATTTTGGGCAATACAAAAGAAAAATATGTTCTGTGGGTTGTGTTTTAAAGCTTCCACAAAATTGTCATTTTAAAAGGTTTAATTGTTGAAGAGAATTCAAAACATACAAGTAAAATTGGATGCTTAACTAGCAAAACACTAAACTTAAAAAGCAAAATCCATAAAAATTAGTTCTACAGCATAAATTCAACCCTTAAAAATTCTAAAAAATCATTTTTACTTACAATTGGCATTGATCACCTTTTATTCCTTTAGTTGTACAGAAACATTTTCCTGTGTGCAGATGACAAATATTTGCATGACCACTGCATGTACAAGCTGTAAGTCAAAATCAAAATGCTATTGAGTATTCTACATCACAAGCATGCACATCACATTTCAGGGAAGACATTATTATTATTACCTTATGCTTATGTCCTCTCATTTCCTCATGCCATCTAAAAGCTTAAAGGTTACCACATATTATAAGTTAGTTTTAACTGAAGGGAAGTAAATTCACTTATTTGAAATTTTATGAAATTCTATATAAAGTTTTGGGGCTATCTTCAAGTCCATTTTCTCTTACTGACACCAACACAATCACAGATCAGATACCTTTTTACTTTTAGTATTTCTAGGTTATAATTCATTCTCTAATCAATTACATATTCTAAAAAGACAAGGCTGATTGTGTCACTAACCCTTTCAAAAAACTTTAGTGAGAACTATTGGCATTCTTTCCCACAAACAGTTAGTTAAACCATTCTATTAACAAAAATGAAATAATATGATCTTTTCCTAATTCAAATACACAAAAAAACAAGCTAATGAGTCAAAATTCCCCAATGGTCAACTTTTTTATTATTATTTTATCTTAAAATATCAATAGTAATTCTATGACATATGCTAATGAAGTAACAAATGCAAACAAATGTAACCCAATAATCATACTGCTATTTTTATGAGTCTCCAAAATAAAATAAATTTTATATACTAAAATGAAGTAAAAAACCAATATGAATATTTTCAAAGAAATGTCTGGACCAGATAGAGTCAATAAAAGAATCAAAAAGAGTGAAAGCTGAGAGTGTTTGGTGAGGATTATCAGAAAAAAAAACATTTCAGTGTTATTAAACCAGTTTTCTACCTCCCAAGAGAATGCCTGCCTGTCCTCTTACTTAAGCTTAATGAGACGTCACATGAGCTCTTTGAAGGGTTTGAGGTGGGTCCCCTAAAATTTAGGTGGCATATTAGATGTGACACAAATATTTAGCTGTGAATATTTGTGGCTATTTAACTGAGGAAACAGGACAAATAGAAAGGGCCACTCTTCAAAACTATCAGCATTTACACTAAAGTCAAAGAAACTAATATATATTTCCTCTAGCTGACCTGGAACTGCTTAAAAATCTGACCAAGAGGACTATGTGGAAGCATCAGGGGACTCCAACTAAAAAAGCAGAAGAAAAAGTTGCCAGTACAGGAAAAGAAATATGTGTTACCTTCATCAAGAGAATTACACCTGGATAGGCCAAGCTTCAAAAAAACCCCAAAAGACACCTATGTGAGAATGGATCAGCAATTGTGCATTTCTCACACAGTGGACCTCAACCACAGATGACAACTATCCCTCACACATAATTTTCTTCTCTGCATAGAAAGATTAAAAATATTACCAAGCCAGAAAAGGAGAAAAATCCTAAATATAGAAAGAGAGAGCATCCACAATGGAGGTGAAGAGAAAATGTGGCTTCAAAGTACATTCAGAGTTCTGATTTTTATTTGATCTAGACAATTTCAATTATTTGTGTAAGCACATGTTTGAAAATTAAATTCTTCAAAGTTCCTTATATTAACTAAGAGTGAGTCTAGGATTTTGGGATTTCATACAAGGTCAAGGAAAAAACTTATTTGACTGAATACATTTTTTCTTTCTTTCTTTCTTTCTTTCTTTCTTTCTTTCTTTCTTCTTTTTTCCTTCCTTCCTTCCTTCCTTCCTTCCTTCCTTCCTTCCTTCCTTCTTTCTTTCTTTTTTTTTTGAGACACAGTGTTGCTCTGTTGCCCTGAGGAGACTGCAGTGGCATCATCATCACAGCTCACAGCAACCTCAAACTCCTGGGCTCAAGCAATCCTCTTACCTCACCCTCCCAAGTAGGTGGGACTATAGGTATGTGCCACGATGCCTGGCTAATTTTTATATTTTTAGGATAGATGGGATCTTGCTCTTGTTCAGGCTGGTCTCGAACTCCTGAGCTCAAGCAATCCTCCCGCCTTAGCCTCCCAGACACACCTGCAATCATGCTAGGATTACAGGCATAAGCCATGATGCCCAACCTCCACTGAATACATTTTAAAGGGACAATGACAGAGAAAAATATTGTATTTTTGTTATACACTATTAGTCTGGCTTCTATATCTTATCAGTTACATATATATTAGTAAAAAAAAGAACCTAGAAAAGACAAAGCAAATATTGCTTATTATTTTTATGAAGGCAAGAGATTATGGTGGTGATTTTAAATTACATATACATTTCCTGTTTATGAACTTGTTAGTAATATATAAAAATAGGATAATAAAACTTATTTCCTGTTTATGAACTTGTTGGTAATATATAAAACAGGATAATAAAACCAACTAATTTAAGGACTAGAATTCCATTACTACCACTTGTAGCAATCTGTATACTGCTCCCTTAACCTATTTCATTGTGCCCCTCCACCCACCCACCAGAAGTAACCACTAGCCAAAACTTTGTATTCATCAATTCCTGGTTTTTACACTCAACATACATAAATAATTTATAACATTTAAATTTCCATTAGCAAATGAAGATAGCTACAACAAATTCCAAAAAATAGTCTCATACAATGAGCCCCGACAACAATATAACTAAATCAGAAGTTAATAACAAACAAATAAAATTCCACCAAAAACACTATACATCTGGATTTTAAAAAAAAGAAAAAGAAAACACTCTAGAGGAGTGATCTTAACAAGATGGTAGAATAGAACTTTCCAGCATTCATCCCCTTACTGAAACATCAATTTGAAAAACTATCCACACATGAAAATACCTTCATAAGAGCTAAGTAATCCAGGTGAGAGATCATAGCACGTGGTTATAGCATAGAAACAATAAAAAATATATTGAAGAAGGTAGGAAAGCCAATTTAATATTATCAACAGCACCTATCTCCTAACCCCAGGCAGCACAGCACTGAGACATACCCCAAAGTGGGTAAAGAAGAGTAAAGTAAGAACCTAACTTTCCAGTAAGACCCCAGCACCAGGCCTCCCCCTACAGCCCCAAGCTCCAAACCTGCCCCAGTGCCAGGCCATCCCCAGGAACTACAAGCTCTAGGCTAGCACCTGAGCAAGCAGGCTCCAGGTCCACCCAAAGCTCCAGACTGGCCCCAGGACCCCCTCTGTGTCCCTAGGTTCCACATCCGCCCCCTTAGTCCAAGGCTTCAAGCCCACCCCAGCAATAGGCCAGCTCCCAGCAACCCCAGGCTCCAGGCCAGTCTCCATGGTGCCAGCCTCCCAGCTTGCCCCAGGCCATGCTAGACCCTGTAGCTCCAGACTCCAGGCTGGTAGCCACAAACCAAGCATTCAAGCTCTCCCCAGTGTTAGGCTGGCACCTGTGAACCCTAGCTCCAGGCCAGCCGCCATGGCCCTAAGACTCCAAACTTACCCACATAGATACAGGCTACAGACCAACCCAGTGCCAAACCATCACCAGGATCATGACCAGCTAACTGCCAACTCAGGCTCCAGGACCAACCAGTGCCAGGCCAGCCCATGTGGACTTAGGATCCAGGCCTACCCCCATGGACCCAGGTGCCAGCTCATCCCAGTACCAGGCCTGCTCCTACAGATGAAAACTGAAGGCCTGCTCACTAGGTCACCCCTAGGGACCAAGGCTTCAGATGGGCCACAATAGACACATAAAAGATGTAAACTGTGACATCAATAACATAAAACGTGTGGGAAAGAGAAGGTAAAGTATAAGGTTTTCATATTTAATAAATGCTAGCTTGTTATCAACTTAAAATAGACTATTATATCTATAAGATATTTCATATAAGCTCCATGATAACCACAAAGAAAAAACCTATAGTAAATATACAAAAGATAGACAAAAAGGAATCAAAGCACATAACTACAAAAAGATCATCAAATCACAAAAGAAAACAGCAAGAGAGAAAGAATGGAACAAACTAAAACACAGAAAAAAATTAAAATGACAGAAGTAAGCCTTTACCCATCAAGAAAAAAAATAGTAAAAGTCAGAGTGTAAGTAAATAAAATAGAGACCAGAAAGACAATAGAAAAGATCAATGAATAAAATCAGAAATAAAAGACTAATACAACAGAAATACAAAGGATGATAAGAGACTACAATGAACAATTATATATGCACAAGTTGGATAACCTAGAAAGAATAAATTCCTAGAAACATACATCTTACCAAGACTGAATGAAGAAGAAACAGAAAGTCGAAACTAACCAATAACAAATAAGAATATTGAATCTGTATTCAAAAACCTCCCATCAATATAAAATCCCATAACCAGATGGCTTCATGGCAGAATTCTACCAAACATTTTAAAAAGAACTAATATCATTCCTTCTCAAACTCTTCTAAAAAAATTGAAGAACAGGGAATACTTCTAAACTCATTTTATGAGGCCGACATTACCCTGTTACCAAAGCCAGAAAAAGACATTATAACAAAAGACAATTACAGGCCAATATCCCTTACGAAAATAGATGCAAAACCCTTAACAAAATATTAGCAAACAAAATTCAATAGAACATAAAAGGGATAATTCACAGTGAACAAGTAGAATTCATCCCAGGGATCAAAGATGATTTATCATACACAAATCAATAAATATGAAACATCATATTAAAAGAATGAAGGGCAAAAACCATATAGTCATCTCAGTAGATGTAGAAAAAGCATTTGATAAAATTCAAAGTCCTTTCATGATTAAAAAAAAAAAAACTCTCAAGAAATTAGATGTAGAAGGAATGAACCTCAACATAATAAAGACCACATATGACAGGCCCACAGCTAAGATCATACTCCCTAAACATTTAAAGATTTTCCTCTAATATTAATATTATTAACAAGACAAGGATGCCCACTCTTACAACTTCTATTCAATATAGTACTAAAAGTACTAGCAAGAGCAATTAAACAAGAAAAAGAAAGGCATCCAAATAGGGGGACAAAAGTTAAATTGTTTTTGTTTGCTGATGACATCATCTTGTATATAGAAAACTCTAAAGACTCCATCAAAAAGCAATTAGAACTGATAAAGAAATTCAGT